AGCTTTGTATCAATGTATAATATGATGTTTTTAAAAAATTTTTTTTTTCAATTAGGTTAGATGACAATTTTCCTCCAAGAACTGTATGAGATGATAATTTAATCCCTCGAGTTGGTGTGCTTATTGCAATAAATAACTTTGTGCACTGCTGAATTTTAAATCTTTCGTTGTAAATATTAGACAATCAAGGCAATACTGTCTTAATGAAAACATTAACGATTCCCTCTTTATCAAATGAGATAAACGGGAACGAGTTTTGAGTGATATAACTAAGCCAAGCCTGCCACCGTCATTTTGGATCTTCACCTGGGAAGATTTAAGTCACGTGCTAGGCAACGTATAATCAATAACAAGATAGAATTTCATTTCAGGCCTATTTATCAATTTTGTGGTGTGTAACTTTCGCATTTTAGTACGTTGTATGTATGTTGAATCTTCAAATTGTCTTGAAACTTAAAAGAAAATTGTTCTTTAAAAATTCACTGAAAATCGGTAGCTAAAATTGTTTGTTTAGGTGTTGTTTTATTTTCGTGTTAACTTGTTATTTCGTCAGTCGCCGGCATCTTTTGTTGCTTCACACAGGAAAAACACACGCGACGAAACGTAATGATCGATTTTGTCCTCAATCCCACGCCATAACAGAAAAAGCTTTTGAACATCTGTAAACTCCGAGCGCTTCGCAGTAAGTGATATTTTCAATGAATTTTCGGATTGTTTTCAAGTTCAAGGATTGTAAATTACAATTTTTTGAAAAACGAAGGTTGTTCTGTTATTTCAGTGTGAATCCTTGCATGCCTGCCAGTCGCTGGCGCCGCTTGTTGAAACTAAAACGAAAAAAAAAAACTCTTTTAAGATTATCACTGGCTTCTTTTTCACCCCACCACTATTCTTAGCAACAAAGGTCGCCATTTCGTCTGTTTATTGCTCGTCAAAAACTTAAATCTAAAAAAAGCCTAAAATCTAAAAAAAGTTTACAGGAATCGACCAATCAAGCGAGCGAATGGCATTCTCCACATCGTATCTTAACTCGCTCTTGCGCACGCGCGCAATTCACGAGTTAAAAATGGGAAATTTGAATTTCGGTAAAGAAACAGATTAAATGCAGAGTACGATTGTGTCCAACAATGTTTGTGAGCTCTATCAATGGTCTCAAGCTATAATCTTCCCCTAAAATGGGAGGCGGGGCGGTTGTGGAACTAGGATCATGTTCGCTCAGAAAATTAAAAAAAAAATTCAATAAGCGAAGACAGATGTTAAGAACTGTTTTCTTTAGCTAATTGTGACTACATGATACGCTTTATTAAAACTCTCATTTATCTAGAAGTCTTCAAAAATAGCCTCTATTACGTAACGCGGAAAAACGGACGTTTCTCAAGGGAAGAGCTTGAAGTCAAATATTTCTTTTCTTGACGCAATTCTCCAATACGATTGGCAACCGACAACTACCGACATTAATTTGTCGGTAGTTGCCTGCATATTTAATGATTTTTTTATCAATAAACTGTTAACATGTCGATGAGATACGCAACCAATCTGTTTGGAAATAAATACATGTAAATACTCGATTATGTAGGCGTCTTCCAACAAACAACTCATGGCTCTGAATTATTAACTGAACTTGTAAACCACTCTACTACATCTTCCGCCATACCACAGTTAAAGTTATTGGTTTTATTCGAGAATGATACACTCCCGAAAACAAACCCGTAAGATTAGTTTCTGCCGTAAGGAATCGAGTTGAAACATTTGGGGGCGAACTTATTTTCCGTCAGCCGACTAATTCGCTTAAGTAGTATGGAGCGAACTTACTTGCGCTGGTGCGAAACGTCCTCAAACCGAGTCAATCCCGCACCTCTTGATTTCGTTCCAAAGCACGAAGCATTGAAGCATTTTGTGGCCGATCAAAATAATCCAAATTTTTTTTCTTGGTACTCTCCTTACAGGTTTGCCTTGAAGGTGATATTGTCACGCTCAAAAGAGAGACATCACACATAATTACTACTGTAGAAAATCTCTTTTTTTAAAATATCAAGTTACAATTTTTCTCTTCCTAATTAGAATTACGAATTAGCCTTGCATTTGGAAAAATGACGTGGACATTTTTCGCGTACTTTTAGTTTGTTTTCGCGGAGTCTTTAGTTTGTTGTGTGGAGCTTTCGTTCCCGTAAATTTGTAACTCCTTTGTTTGGAATTTGAAGAAGTTTCGGAGTTTTTATTTAATCTTTAATAAATCATATCTTTAATTTCACTTAGTCAAAAAACCAGCGGTCACATAAAGTGCGTTCTGAGGTATTGTCGTTCCGAGTACAGTCTTTTTGTTGTATTTAAGTGTGTACAGCCTGTTTTCGTACTTATTGACGTTTTTGATAAACAAATTACGGCGGTTGAAAATATACGTTCTCTAAGAAGAGAAGACGTTGTCAGAGGAGATGAAAACTGTTTTTGCCGAGCTGTTGCTCTTGGGAGGGATGAAACAGGCAACGAGAAACACAAGGAGATCTGTGGGTCGAGTACCAGTTTGTTTCAGAAAGATCCAAAGGTTTTTGAGCTGCCACTCCTCGCTATTTTCAATTACAAACAGTCATGTTGCGGTTTCTTCAACACTAACATTTTCTACCTTGATTTCTTCGGCTGATCTTCAAGTAAAGTTTAGAGCTCTGGGACAGTTTGAAAACAGCACTTATATTTTCTCAGTCTTCGGCTCATCACAGTTTGGTATCTAGTACTTCCTCTTCAAAATGTAGTTGTTGTAGGTCACGATTAGAGATATCTCGTAATGTTTGGAGGTTTCGAAGCCGTGTTGGTGTCGTCAAAGCTGCTGTGTTGGCAACTCTAAGTTCAAAGTCTTCAGTGTTCACAATTCGCCTTATCTTACAGCACCGAGCTAACGCCTGTCGAAACTCCGGTACTCTATAAGCATACACAACTGGATTTACAAATGCGTTGGTAACATTAACAAAGCTCATAGCTACAAAACACCTCCACGGTATTACATCGTGAAGATCGAGTAGAACGTTTAAACTGAAAACAGAAGCAAAAGGTAGCCAGCAAAACAAAGCAAGGGCAGAAACAAACAGCAAAGTCTTTGTCAAGCGTTTACTTTGTAAGTCTCTGGTTTGCTGAAGCGAGCTTGCGACAATTCTTTCTTGAAACTTTCTCCTTATGGCGATGTTACAACCACAAATGAGGATAATTGAAACAGTGCAAATTGAAAACCAAACGAGAAAATAATATTTACTCAAATTAGCTATTAAAAATATGGTATCCAAGGAGGCTAGTGTCCACACTACTATAATAACTATGCAGTATGCCCGCACAGATAGCGTTCGGTGTCTAAACGGTCGGTATATGGCGTAAAACCTCTCGCATGACATAAAGGTCGCAGTTATTAATGATGCTACCATCGAGATGTTGTCAGCGATGGTATAGCAGTAGGAAAAAAGCTGGCTCACACTTCCTGACCAAAGCTGATAATGGTGTTTTCCAACCAAGTAAATGTACAAAGGCAGAGTCACAGCCCCCAACATCAGATCGGCAACGGCCATATTGATGACGAGAAACAAACTTTTCTTTCGAAGCCTCTGGTCAGTGACAAAAAGAACGATGGTGAGTAGGTTTTCTACGACTATCAAAATTACTGCCAATATGAAAACACTGCACCAAACGATGCCTTCAGGTTTGGATGGAAAATCCATGGATGATGTAGACTTGTAGTCTTCGCTGATATTATTTGCTGATGTGTTATTCATTGCTGACATTAACAGACTTTAACGATCTCGGCAGACAGCCTGTGCAGGTGTGGCTCACTTCATCGTCGTCGTTGTCACTGATACACTAGATAAGCTGAAGCGATGTTCACACCTTGAGAATTTTCCGTGACAAGCTTTGTATCAATGTATAATACGATGTTTTTAAAAAAATTTTTTTTCAATTTAGGTTAGACGACAATTTTCCTCCAAGAACTGTATGAGATGATAATTTAATCCCTCGAGTTGGTGTGCTTATTGCAATAAATAACTTTGTGCACTGCTGAATTTTAAATCAACCAGCGAAGTCTTCCAATTTTTATAAACCAGCTGGTTAAGTCTTGTGCTCCCATAGTTTATTTCAAGAAACTAAAAATGGGAAATTTGAATTTCGGTAAAGAAACAGATAAAATGCAGAGTACGATTGTGTCCAACAATGTTTGTGAGCTCTATCAATGGTCTCAAGCTATAATCTTCCCCTAAAATGGGAGGCGGGGCGGTTGTGGAACTAGGATCATGTTCGCTCAGAAAATTAAAAAAAAATCCAATAAGCGAAGACAGATGTTAAGGACTGTTTTCTTTAGCTAATTGTGACTACATGATACGCTTTATTAAAACTCTCATTTATCTAAAAGTCTTCAAAAAAAGCCTCTATAACGTAACGCGGAAAAACGGATGTTTCTCAAGGGAAGAGCTTGAAGTCCATCATTTCTTTTCTTGACGCAATTCTGCAATACGATTGGCAACCGACAACTACCGACATTAATTTGTCGGTAGTTGCCTGCATATTTAATGTTATTTTTATCAATAAACTGTTAACATGTCGATGAGATACGCAACCAATCTGTTAGGAAATAAATACATGTAAATGCTCGATCATGTACGCGTCTTCCAACAAACAACTCATGGCTCTGAATTATTAACTGAACTTGTAAACCACTCTACTACATCTTCCGCTATACCACAGTTAAAGTTATTGGTTCTTATTCGAGAATGATACATTCCCGAAAACAAACCCGCTAGATTAGTTTCTGCCGTAAGGAATCGAGTTGAAACATTTGGGGGTGAACTTATTTTCCGTCAGCCGACGAATTCGCTTAAGTAGTATGTAGCGAACTTACTTGCGCTGGTGCGAAACGTCCTCAAACCGAGTCAATCCCGCACCTCTTGATTTCGTTCCAAAGCACGAAGCATTGAAGCATTCTGTGGCTGATCAAAATAATCCAAATTCTTTTCTTGGTACTCTCCTTACAGGTTTGCCTTGAAGGTGATATCTCTAAGTCTTCCATCATGAGCAGTCTATCACGAGGCAAAAGGGCATCTGGCGACCTTATTCCCTGGACGATATCGCAGCAATTTAATGATCACGATTTTGCGGGTCTTTCTGGAGGAAGAATTGTCAGAATCGCTACCCATCCTGACTTTCAAGGGGTATGAAAGATTCTTTTACATTTATTTATTATTTTATTTATTTATTTATTTTTTAGTTTGTATCTTGCCTAAGCATGGGCAGATCTAGGATTTTTTAATGATTTATTTATTTATTTATTTTTTAGTTTGTATCTTGCCTAAGCAGGGGCAGATCTAGGATTTTTTAATGATTTTTATAATGATTTTTGATGCAGAAAACAAATTATTTTTGGTGTAGAAAAAAAATTATTTTTGACGCGGAAATCAAACTATTTTTTACCCAATGGCCTACATAAGCTTTAATATAGAATAGTAAAATTATCTCCATCTCAAAAGGTAGCAATTTGAGTTGCACGATCTTCATAGTAACCATTGTGAACCTGCTTATTTTCTTTTTTGCAATAGATGGGTTATGGTCGACGGGCCATGAATCTTCTTATTCAGTATTACGAGGGAAAGATTCCCAGTTTAGCTGAAGAACGCAAAGAAGACGGACAAATCTCAACTCTGACTGGAGATGAGGTAAAAATGAAAAGTGCATCAATATCATCGTGAAAGTTTGAAGGTGCATTTGAAAAAGATCGTGGCCCAAAAGGTCAACCTTTTCATTGGCCAGTTTTTGACTGAGGGGAAAATAATAACAAGTACTTAGTTCAATTGTTCTGTTTTTTACTAATTTGTAGTTCACATTTACCATTTGTAAACGTAATGTATGGAGGAAGAGAATAATAGCGAGGAAATAATACACTTTCAGTACAGTAACGTTCTTTACTTTGTTCAGCAGGTTGAAGATCCGCTTTCTGTTTGTCTCAGAAAAAGTGCATGTGTCGTACAAAAGCTATCTATGACTTTCATGAAGCCTATTCAATAAAAATTTCATATTTGCCCATAACCTCTTCGCTTCTCAGGCAAGCGATTTTTTTTAAGCATTGTTTCTGAGGGTGACTTTTCGACTGAGTGTCTTAAGACCAAAGCCAAATTAAAACGGCCAATCAGAAGAAGGGAAAATACCCAAGGAAGCCATGGAGAACTTGAAATGAACATAAAGCCAAAAGCCCGGGAAACTGCCAGCGATGGTTTTCATCTGATTGGTCGAGAGGATGGCGCGAAATCTTTGATCCAGCACAAAGTGACGAAAGCAAAATCATTGCAATCCTAGATTCCTTGTGACACTCAATTGAAAATTTTGCCATTCAGAAGTTAACTTTCGATATACTAATTCCTTAAAGGATTGGGCTGCAGTGCAAGCGTCTAATTGGGACGAGTAATAGCAAACTCGCGATCGTTTATTCAGCCGGCCATGCTTGATTGAAGTGGACAGTGGGGAGGGGGTAAAGAAATTCATGTGCCCCCAACCCCTTCCCTCTCCTTCCTTTTTACTATCGTTCACCCTTTTTGTTGAAATTTATTTCTCTCCCCAGCTTTCCGTGGCTGTAAATTCAAAAATGGCCGCTATAATTTTCACCATGAAAATACTGAGCACTTAGGTGCCAAAATTACGCCTACCCTGTAGGCTGTTAAAGGGTTTGTTACGGCAGTTCTAACTGACGTAAATTCAAAATGTTCATTTATTTCATAGGATGTTGGCCTACTACAGGAGGTGATAACTCCTCGCAGTAATCTGCCGCCTCTTTTGTTAAAACTCAGTGAAAGACCAGCCGAACAACTGGATTATTTGGGCGTATCCTACGGCTTGACAACTCAACTCTTAAGGTACTGAGAAAATTATTTCTTTCATCGAAAAATATACAGTCGAAACTCCTTACAGGACCCTCCTTCGTAATTGTGCTCTTTCCCTCAAAACTTTAACCTAATTTTGGGACCTATCATTATTTATCGCCAAGGGAAGTCGGAGGGTTTTGTGTGTGTCACGATGAAATTTACCAGATCCCCCCCCCCCAACCCCCTTCCTTAAAGTACCGTATTATTCCAATGATCCCCCTCATTGGGAATCAACTGTTTTTGGTCCCCCTGTTGTTATGTTGGTGTGGACAGACTGATCCCCCGTCCGTTGACCCCTGAAAACCATGTGACTATGTGATCTCCAAGAAAACCTTCACGTCCTCCCTCCCTTTCCTCCCTCCCTCCCCCCCCCCCCTTCCTTTCCGGGGGGCGATGAATAATGAGTGATGCCTTACTCCTGTGCAATCTCTGTAGTTGTGGCTTTTTATAAGCGACTGTAAGCACCTTTTAGACAACTTCGCGTCAATCATTTAAACATATAGGAAGATGATGATTGGATATAAATGAAAATGAGTACACTGTGCACCTCAGTGAAGAAACAGATATAAGCGATCCTCGCAGCTATGAACACTACTGAACTAGTAGTTGAAGTAGAACCTGAATAAAAATTCAGGCCCGTACGGGATTTGAACGCATGACCTCTGCGGTACCGGTGCAGCGCTTCAGTATGGCGAGGTCATGGGTTCAAATCCCGTACAGGCCTGAACTTTTTTCAGGTCTTATTTCAACTGCTAGTTCAGTTGTGTTCATAACTGCGAGGATCGCTTATACCAGATAGGAAGATGTTTTTGATTTTACACATGCCCTTGCTAGAACAGAATGTTTAGTTGCCTACTCAGACACAGCACAATTTTTTTTTTGCGAGATTTCGGTAAGTTTTTTTCATAGAAAAAAAATACAATTTTTTTATGTTTGTTTTCATTTTATATCTGTTAGATTTTGGAAGAAATCCGACTTTGGTCCTGTGTACCTCCGCCAGACGCCGGTAAGGAATTTAAAGCATTTTTTATCTTTCCATCGTAGTATTGTCTCAATTTTCTTCGTTGTTTTTTTCATTGTCTGAACGAAACTCTGTGGAAGGATATGAATAAATACTGAGTTAGCGGGAATATTGGTCAACTCTGATGCTTTATTCAGTCTGCAATGAAAATGATTTGTTGTGAAAAGACCGGCTAGCGGTCATTTTATTTATTTATTTATTTTGGTTGTTGTTCTCTCAACTTAGCACTTGCATATGACTGTACTACTACAAAAGAGACGGTAGCCTTTAACAAGCCCTCACTTTAGATCTGCAGAACGCAGGTTTCTCGGCCGGCGGGAAGATTTGAGACGAATCGGGTTGAGGTTTGCCGGGAATCTGGCACTAATGATAAGTTCCCTCCCACTTCCCCAGACTTTGCAAGTTTAGTTCTTTCCAGAGTGTTTTTTTTTTTCTGACAGGAGTTGTCCCTGTTTACTTTCTAGAATGATTTGACTGGCGAACACTCTTGTATAATGTTAAGACGACTCTCCGATCAAGAAGAAAACTCTGATGACAACTGGCTGCAAGCCTACATGACTGGTGAGTGGTAAAGTCCTATAAGACGCGCAGAATTCAGTTTTTATTGGGAGTTTTTTCCATCTTCCAGCTTTTTAACACTGGATATGCGAGAGACAGCTCCAAAAGCTTAGGCAGAGGTTGCAATAAAAGCCGGTGACTAGCGGTCTACCGCCATCTGTAAGACCTCTCACCGCCGTCTGTTGAGCCTGCGCTCAACAGGCACAGCCGCCTATTACACCATCGACAGCCGTTTATGGCAAAATATTGTTGACTCGCAAACCCCCGGATTAATTTTTAGATGGGCGTGGCTTAGTTTGCAAAGATTTCAGGGGGCATATGGAGCAATGGTGTTAAAACATGAGAGAAAATTATTACCATAGGTAGAATTTTGAGTAAATTACTCGCCGCGCAAACTGACAGATTTGCGCTTTGCAAAATTTTGTACCACGTTAAAAACAGGGTAAAATCTGGCATTTACCCATTAACCCCTACGAGTGACTAGCATCTAATTTCTCCTTACAATATCGTCACTGAATCACACATTAATGTCATGAGAATAAAGGAAATGAACATCAACAGAAATTCTTGATTGTTAAACAAATTCTCCTTGTCAGCACCTTATTAAATGTACAGAGAACAGTATGAAGAATATGAATTCTGATGTTGGGGTGGAAAGGGTTAAGACATCGTGAAATGTGACGCTTCATACTTTTGAAAGGTGAAGAGAAATACAAACGTAAGGTAAAGTTATCTTTACTCATTTGGCAATCGGTGTTTCTTTATATTCTCAGATTTCCGCCGGCGTTTTTTGTCCCTCCTTTCCTATCAGTTTCGCAACTTTCAACCATCTCTAGCGCTGAGTATTCTGAACAACAAGAGTTACAAAGGAATTAAAGGCTCAGGTAGGTAAATTTACAATTAGATTATGACCTCGTGATTTATATCGCGTAGTAGTTGATGACGGCGAATCGCGCATCGACCATCGCGCGTAGAAATTGAGAGCGAATTGTCTTTTTTTGGGGTGTAATTTGCTTTTTGTTTAAAACGTATTAGTAAGACAGGCTTAGACAGATTATTTTATAATCGCGATACAATTAAGATACGCTTCATGCCACTCGGTGAACTCTATCACTGAACAGAGAAAGAGTAGTGGTAATGTAGCTGATATTTTCTAACTTCTCATCGATTACCTTTCCGCTTGAAAATATACAGAAATTGCGAGAAGTTCATTTTTGGTTACTCCGGGAGGTGAATAGATCAAGTGACCAAATGGTATGAGCAAACCAGAAGGTCCATCTTAAAAGTTCGCTTCTTCTCACACTGAAATCGATACTCCTTCATGAAACTTCTACCACTTAGCAGTAGAGCTAAAACATCAGCAGTGCAGCTTTTCTAGTCCACCATGATAGCTTGCCTTCTTTAAATCGTCTCAAGTATTGTTTTCATTGCTCCTTAGGTTTAACAAAAGGTGAGCTAGAAGCTGTTCTTACAACTTACGACATCAAGCGATTGGAACTTTATTCGCGGAATATGGTGGATTATCATCTGATCACGGATTTGCTTCCAGCTGGTGAGAAACTTGAAATGATTTTTTATCTTTAAAACAAGATTAGGAAATTTGAATGGCCTTTTATTTACAAGTCAGTCTTGAAAACGGAAATAATTTCCCTTTTTTTTTTTAGAAGCCCTTCCTAAGTTTCAGAAGTCAGTTCTTCATGAATGATATTCTTGGAACTGAAGGAATTTACTAAAGGCAGAATTAAGGCTACAGAAACGGTGGAGTTATCAGAACAAAATAGCCCCCCACTCCCCTCCCTCTCCGTCTTTTGCGAGACCAAGATGGGGGGAGGGGAGTGTCATACTCCTTCGCAAGACCCTCTTCCTCTTATAATACCTCACTTCATTCGGGATTGTAAACTGCAAGGAAAATCTTGTGAAATAACCAAAGTAAATTGAATTAGAAAAACGGTGCCTATAATGACATGATATTGCTTTTGTCGCACAGTCTCCAGGTTATTTTTCCTTCAGAAAATGGACTTCGATCTTTCTGCAGTGCAATCGGTAAGTTTGAAGAGCATATTCCGTTATCGTATAATCTTGGGAAGTTTTCTTTGCGCCTCAAGGACTACCAACATTTGGAAGCAGACTGAGATTAGAGAAATGTATAAAGGGGGTACGTTTCTGAAGAAACTGTGGTGCTGTGTCGCTGAAGGGCATTTCAAGATAATTTTGTTTATCAACTGAGTTCATATTATAAAGTGGCCTCCGTAAAGAATTTTATAGCTGACGTCGGAGGTACCATGAGCTCATTGATAGCGTTGCTCCATCGTTCTCTATATAAACCACATACAACCCAGAATTTCCCTATTCGCTCTGACAAAGGACTAACAGTCGAAACGTCAGCTTTCAAACTCTGTACGGCGACCAATTTACATTTTTAACTAAGTTGATAAAACCAAAGTATCTTTGATTACAGAACATTAACAACGGAGTACATTTAAGAGGTTGAAAATTTCAAGTTAGTGTGCACGCATGGCTTAGTTCGATAACTAATAGTGTACGCTCTCTTTTTTCCATCAGGCGATTCTTCTCGGGCTTGGACTACAACACAAGACCATAGAGGCCCTTGAGGTATATGTTCGTCGTTAAAACTTAAATACATATCCTTATATATTTAATAGCATAGATATCACAAAATATGGTGGTTGTTATGTTTGTTTCTTTGTCTTTTCAGAAAGAATTAGAGCTACCATCATCTCAGTTACTGGGATTGTTCAACAGAACTATGAGAAAAGTTGTTCAGGTAAAACTCTAAGAACTCTACCCTCTTTTAAACCGTAGTGAAGTATGCTAAAATAGAAATTAGTGAAGCTTTTTAGACATCGATGTCGATGTAGGGTACAAAGCTTTTTCACGGCAGTTCTATCGCTGGAAAAAAGAACTTAAGTTTAAACCTCTGCTCTTAAAGAATTTTCTTAAAGAAAACTTTGTCAAGATGTCAAGAGTTGTGTGAGGAACAGAAAACTTAACGAATAGATTCCATTTTTACCGTGTGTCTGTTCAGTAATAGATCACAGATGACGGACGTCAAAAAGTGGTAAGAACAATTAAGGGGCGCACGGGGCACAGCTTAGTTTGTCACTTATGGTCTTGTTGGATTTTGCCTTCTTCTTTGATCTATTACTGAACAAACCCACGGCGACTTGGAATCCATTTGTTTCATCAGAAGCTTATAAGCTGCTGGTTTTAATGATATAATCCTAAAGACCACGAGCAAGAAGCAAAAAGTGTGCGTGATTCAGATTATCATTTAAAATACGACGGTCTTCTGTTACTTTAAGGTTTTATTTCCACGTTTTTTTCTTTTCTCTTTACAGTGTTTTAGCTCTGTTCTCGAGTCATCCTTCGATAGTCAAGTCACCAAAGAAAGAGAAGTGGCTATGGAGCCGTTAGCTCAAGGACTTCAAGAGGATTTGGTTAGCTTTCTACTTCATCGTATTACTACCTGTTACCCACAAAACTCCAGGCATAAGCTCCGTCTCTTTTCCTTTGCTTCAGTGACCGTCAAGATCTAAATATCAATTACCTGCTCTGTTTGCTCTATATCTTACACTGTTGCCCCTCTCTTTCTCGGTGCTAAGCAAATCCTTTAGTTAATTGACAGTTTTCTTTCTTCCTTTTACCTTTCTGCTTGATAAATTTAGCAATAATTTTGGGAGAAATGTTTTTCCACGAGTTACTCTCGGGTTGAAAGGAACAAAACTTCAATCTGTGTCTTATCGACGATATAGTGTGGGTGTGATTCAAAGAACGGAGGCATGCCAAAGGCTAGGTCGCCATATTATTCACGGGGCGTTAAGAAAACTTCTGTTTCAAAATTTAACTAATATTCATGAATTAATATCTTGTTGACAACTTTCAGGAGGAGGCAGCGAAGGAATTGAAAGAAAAGCAAAAGAAAGAACTGGAAAAACTGAAGAACATTGATCTCAGCGAGTAAGTTATTTCCTGTCTGTTTTCAGACAGTTCCGCACGATTTCGGACACTTTCATCCGAATTCGGACGGTTCCGATCGAATTTCTGACGGTTCCGACTGACTTCGGACTACTGCGTCCATTTTCGGACCGTAGCGTCCGTTTCCAGACGGTACCGTCTGATTTGGGACAGCTGCATCCATTTTCGTTCCGGGTTTTGTCTGATTCAGACACTTGCGTCCCTTTTAACTGTTTGTGTAATTTTACCTGTTTATTCACAGTTGATTTATTTATTGTGCTCTTAATTAGGTTTGCAATATCAGGAAAAGATGATGAATGGAACACGGCTCTAAGTAACAATAAGAACGTCACCAGTGTGATTAGCGTTGCAAGCACAAAGCGGAAGACACAGGTGAATTGAAGTTAAACGTTTTACGCTGTTTCTCTTTTCCACTAACTGTTCCTCGTGAGTGTAATCTTCGTATAAATTCTTATTGCTTTCCCCTTTCCTCTCGTCCTTGCATTTCTTTCCTTTTTTACATCTCCTTTTTTACTTTAGTTTCTGTCTTCTTTTCCTACTGCATCGTTTGCCTCTCAACTGCTCTTTCAATTTCCCAGATTTCTATTCCACACTACTTCTTGTTTCTTGACTGATTTTTTGATCTTCTCTTCCCCAATTTCGCTTAGTCTTCGCATTTCCTCTTATCGTCTTCGTCGTTCTATAACGTCTCTCTGCTTTTCTCTATTCTTGATCCTGATACCACAGCTTATTTACTGCCTTATTGAGTAGCCTTTACTTATAACTTCCAATAAGATGTCTTGTCTCGTCACTTAAATGATGTGTTTTCTCTTCAGCCTTCCAATGATCAAAGCAAATCACATAAGAAACGCAAGAAGTCCAAACAGAAGCACCACACTGGTTGAATCTGCTGTCAAGTTATTAAGCATGTCAAGCAGTGTAGAAGACTGAGGATATGCCAATTATTGTCGCTACTTGTTCGATAAACGTCAGCCTCTACAAGGATTCGGCTAACACTGAACAGCAACGGCAAGATGACGGCAACTTTAGAATTCATTGACCTGTCGTTAATTCTCATCCAAAGTAACGAACAAAATGATTATCAGAAGCGTTATTGTCTGCTCTCTGAACAGGGGGGAACAAGTGCTAAAAGGCCGTAAACTGCAAAAATTTCGTGCACTAAAGGACCATGGCGGGCTTTATAATGAAGGACAGAACGTATGCGCTCACGCCAACAGGAATTTCCGAGTGTCAACGCATGCGTAACGCTTACATTAATGAAGGGTGCAAAAAGCTCTTTAACTCTCTGAGAGCTAAGCGCAAAGCTTATTGGAACGGTGTTATCATGGTTACAAGTTATATCAGGTGGTACGCGCGATTCATGACTTGATGGTGGAAACAATGAATTGACCGCCACCTCCAATCAAGAAGACCCAATTTTCGAGCGTTAGTTCTTCGTAAGCGAGAACGTTGTTCTGACACTTAATTTGGCGAGATTCTGTACGTTTATAGGGAGAGTATTTTTACTTGACCCACTGCCGCACACTTTTTGTTTTGTTACTTAAATGCTTTACATTAAAAAAAAAGTAAATAGAGAAATTTTCTATTAAGTGTCGTAAGAAATCCGGAATTGCTTAGATTCTGCTTTACTTCGTTGTGTTACTCTTCTAACCAATCATATTCAGTCAAACTTAAGCCAATCACCACTTGGTCAATGGCGTTCTCCCGCGATTCAGGCACTGAGTTTGCTTGGCTCCTCGCTGGCTGTTGTGGTTTTACGACACTCAAAGGAATTCAAAGCGCTCTAGATACCAATTCCACGTTGATAGATGTAACAATTAGAAATGTTTCACAGCCCATCCAACGTATCACATCAGTTTTATTAGAATCCGACGAAACGTTTAACTAACTAAGCGCCTTACTCAGAGTTCCTTTAACCTCATAGAGGTGTGTAGAAAAAGAAGTGTGTGTAGATAAGAAAAAAAGGGAGATAAAATCAAATGTCCCAGCGACTTAATACGACGTTTCAGTCCTCGGCCACTTTGTGTGGATCACGTTTCTGCTCAAAGAAAAAGAAAAACGTGAGTAAAAACTGACAAAAACTGAGCTCCTATTTCATGGATCGAAGTGTTGGTTGAAGAGGAAGCGTTTTTTCCATGTAGAGACGCGCCGCCATTCGAAGGTGACTTCACCGATTCAATTTATGCACGAACCAATTAGATATGTCATAGGATAATCAGAAGATACACCCTGGCCATCCCATTTACATGTTTACTGCTTAATTAAATTGTTATTATTTTCCCCAGCTGGTAGATTTGTTTGCAATGCTTGTCGGATACACCTTTACCGTTAAAAATACACAAAAGGCTATTTGGAAATGAATTCCGTTATCAGACTGTTAAGGGATTCGTTGTTTTGTTATATGTGTAGCACCATAGTGCATCTATTCTCTCGTTCGCTGCTCCGCTACAAGATCTTGAAATCAGCTCATCAATAAAGCCGGCAGATCAAATGGACTGTGAACCTGGCAAAGTGTATCCGACATATGGAACAAATCATATTAGCCAGCCTAAGAGGGTTCGCTGGGCCAATGACCTGGAGGAAATTGTCTACTATTTTCCCTACGGCTCAGGTTACGAAGTAACCGAATTAAAGACAGTTAAATATACAGACTCAGTGCTAAAGAACGTTGAGACGAAAGTGGACGCTTCGAAAACCAAGCGACTTCAACAGTCTCTGGTGGCGACTATTCGCCAGTCGAAATTTTCTCAGAAGATGCAGAAAAAAGTGTGCTGGTTTGCGGAGAAAGTTCTTGGTCCTAGCGGTGAGGTTGATTTTGAACTCTTCAAAGAATTGTGTAAGCACCGGGAGGAATTGGCCTCTGAGAAGAGGACTGCAATACAATACTGGTAATCTTCACTACAGATAGGGCGGTGTACAAAAAACGATTCCTTTTCTTAAAAACTTAACAAATTATCCTAGCAGTGTTGTTGTGAGACGTGTACTTGAATTGGATGACAAAAAAAAATGAGTATCAAAATGTAACGTCAAAAAGACCTTTTAATGATGAAGTGTTCTATTTGAGAGTATGTTCAAAATCTTGGTCTTAGTCTACAAAGCCGAAAACGGTTTCCACAGCTTTATTTTATTTCTATCAGGTGAAACTGTTCTGAAGTTTCCAAACAGGACGGATGGTTTCCACTTGCAAAAATATTTTTTAAAAACACTAGGGAAACATTTATCTCTCATCCTCACTATCACAAGGGAACATTTTTTTTTGGTTAAATGGTCCCTAAGCGTATGAACAAGACGCCTGTTGGTTGAGGAAAAAGTAAATTTTTTTTTCAACCTAGTTTTATGTGAATGATTTTTTTTCCTGTGTCAGTTCTGTTTTACATCAAATCGATATTTCACGCTAAACAAAGCATTCATGGGACTTCAGGTGCAGGATTGGTCTGATTCTGGCTCCACAGACAGTTTCCTAAATTTTCTCCGTTTGTCACTAGTTTCCTTCCGGTTCGATTTTCTCCCCTGCGTTTTTATTCACCGTTGCCTATTTATACACTGAATTGATTCAAGTTTCATGTGCCTAGCACATTAAAAGTAGTTCGGTAGCCCCCCGTTTCGTCATTCAAATGACAGCGCAGCAGATTAAAATTCATCTTTTTGCAAATTTTTTAAAGATTTGTATCAGTGTTGTTATTTTTAGAGCCAGCCTGATTGTTGAGAAATTAAGGTTGCGTTGTCACCTCTATAAAGAATGCTCTTTAAAGGCCAAACAAAAGAAAAACGTGCAAAACAAAGCAGGAAAAAAGAAAAGAAAAATCCTAAAAAATCAAAGCAACCCAGGATGCCTCGTTGAGAATATCGGAGATCAACGTGCATCGCCCTGGCGAGTAAACAAACCACAATAAGTGTATTGGAGCTATAAACACAAATATTTTCATTTGACTTGCGTCTGTGCTCGCCCTGGATCTGTTTGCGAAAAATGAGTTAACCTACTCTTTTTAATTATATTAGATGTGAACGGACTCTCATTATTGAAGACACACATAGACAAATTATTGAATGATCTTCTGAATCTGGAAACGGATATGGGGCTTGAATCCCAACTACATTTACTGTTTCTTCGAACGACTTAACTTCGGGAAACAGTCACAGTAAGGTAGGCCCGTCTGGCCTTGTGGTGACTTTTGTTGTGCTCACGTTTCTTCCGCGAAAAAGGAAACGCAAAAGTCTCCCACAGGGACTTTAAAAACGTGTCTTTGAAAACGAGCAAGGTGCACTTTTTCAAACTGCACGTGTAAGCTGTAGAGACAATATGTTGTTGTTCCCTGAGGATCATACATTCCTCTTAAGCGCCTTTTGAAATTAGCCCGAAGCCATAACTACGATAATTTGAAATTTTGAAATAAGCTTTCGATTGATAAATAATTGAGATTTTTAGGCCTTGTGCCGTCAAATTAAAATAATAATGGTGTTGTTTTGATCGAGATTATTCGAAAAAAGAAAAAAAGCATGACTCTATCAGCTTTTTGCTCTCGACGTAAATGGACATTTTGTTTTGATCGTTATGTTAAATAAATATTGTTAACAAATCGGCTCTTTACCCTTGGCTGTAAAATGAAAAACTTATTTTGTTTTTATCTCAATTCGATCTAAAAATGATTAAAAAAAATTCCTAATACGCTTTTTTCCTCCTTGTTGGTCTCGGAAAGTTTGAGTGCTAATGAAAAATTGAGAAAGTTAAGCAGATTTTGAAATTGTATCAATGGAGACCATTAAAATTTTATGGTGAACGAAGTTTGACTTTTCCATTAGTAAAAATCGATTGAGACACATAACAAGTTGATTTAACGATCAACTGTTTAAGCTCTCAATTAGTGCTGATCGCTGCCAGCATATTTCAGGGCGTTTTTCTTGTTATTAATCACACTCGACTGTCAGTGATAAAAACTTATTTTTCAAAAATTGACTTTCTTATCTATATCAAGGGAGCATTAGTCAATTTCTATCGTTATATGATCAATATTTCTACGCATTGCTCAAACAAACAACAGTTTTTTCTTTGTTTATTCTCTCTTTCTCTCTGAATTTTTTCAATATTAATTCTGGTTTGCTCACCAGAATCTAGACCATACACAAAGGCGGCAATCGGTTACCCGGGGTACGTTGTTTTTCCAAAAGCAGAACGCCTGCATTGACATAAAGAAATCCTTTCTTTCAAGATATCATTTGGAGACGTTGTTATAAAGCCAAAAAATGGATCACAAAGAACTCGGAATGGGTCCTCTCGCTTGATTAAAGGGTGTCGGCCAACAAGCTGTACGGTCAATTTTAATTTTCCTTACTTTCCCAACGTCAATCGGAAAAAATGACCCTTATCAACCCGCACTCTTTATTGAAAGTAAATCGATTGTTTTGCGCCGATATTGTTTCGATAATGGAAACATTTCGTTCTTCGTGAATGCTTAATTCATGACAGCCGGTGTTTTTTTGCAGGTGATTCTTCCACAATTTTGGAGAGAGAAAGAGGCATTTGAGGTCGAGTTGCACAAGAAACGACCAGAACTTAACCACTTAATAAATTTAATTTATGATGGTGTATGCATGACAACTCGAGCTGTTTCAGTTCAATCCGTCAAACTGTTTCAATGCTTTCGTAATCATCCTTTCAATCTAGCATAAATTTTTAGAGTATTTTCTTCGACTCAGTCGTCGTCTTTTCTTTCCAAGTGAAGTGAAGTGAAGGTTTAGGCTTTTTTTATCATTTTTTTTTAAACTTCGAGCGTTTATCCCTTGAGAGTGTCACTTTTAGTCAGGGAAAGAACCTACTATATGTAAGAGTTGAAGAAGCGGAAACCACGTTAAATTTTTAATTATGATTACCAAAGCATAACAGCTGTGTGATGAAGCCCAGGAAAACGTATCCATTTCGGTCGCTTACCAACTCATTTCTGCGATTTCTGAAATTTCTGACTTGGAAAATTCTGTTTTCGTTTCAGAGACTAGCTGGACAAAGACCCTTGATGGATTTTTTAATCCTAACAGAGTTTGAAATCTTGAAATTAAGAAAGAAGACACATGTATTTGCAATTGGAAATCATGACCGGACAAAATTAGTGTTATGGTAATGTGCCATTACTATTGTTCCATATCGCGTTGTAATAAACCACAGGCTGTCCGACTTAACATCAGAACGACTCCGCTCATTAATTTTCAGACAAAGGTCACAGTATAACGAAGCGAAGTTGAAGTGATCAGAATTAAAACAACTACAAACAAAGCTTGCCAATAACAAAACTCAAAATCCTTCTTAAAATGAAATGACATTTTCGATGGAGATGAGATTTCGCCATGGTTTCGTTTCCTGTTTAAACAGTTAGATACAGCCAGGCTATGAATCTTCATTTCCAGCCTTAAGCGGCAGAGATAATTTATATTATTTTTAACAACCCAGTTAGTAGCTCTACAAATACAAAAGTGATAAAGTTATACGATTTCGTGTGTTTGAATGAACCATTAAACCATTGTACAGCTTTGAGAAGAACGTCTCACTGATTTG